ATAACTTTTATGCTCTTATTTAAAAATAAGAAGTCAAAGGCCCTACAAATAAACTAAAATATAAGCAGACAATAAACTGAATAAGAAAGTCAATTGCCTATCAAGTCTGTGAATGGATGATTAAACCCTTGGTATAGGATGAAGGCAAATTAAATATAAATGATTATTACTTGAAATTATTCAAACTACTAAACTTTGGAGAGCAGGGAAGGAATTATGTAGAAGCAATCATGTATACCTCATAGGAGGGTCAAGGACTCAGCAGTTTTAAAACCAATCTGGACAGGGACTTTCGCAAATGCGTTCCTGGAATATCTTGTAATGCAACAATCTGCTTCCTTTATGTCTCTCAAGCAGGTCCACGATTACTCACAGGGGAAAGTTTGCTCACAGTACTATTCAGCAGGACATGGGGGAACTATGTTGTGGCAACAGGTAATGAGAAGATCCAGGAGCATCCGTGAGTGGAGAAATGGAAGTATGAATATGTACACTAAAGTATCACGATTAGGGTAATTCATAACAATTGAGAGGGGAGTACCCAGTAATATGTGCATATCTTAAACACACTTTTTGAGTAACAAGGAAGGAAAAATGTTAAGTGTAGAACATAATAGTACTATGCTACATGTAAAAGAACAAATCTCTTCTTACTAGGGCATGTGAATACAAAAAAAAAAAAAAGAAAAGAAAAGCTTCAAGAGACTTATAACAGGGGCTGATGAGTGGTAGAATAAATGGCTGTGAGGAACAGGGATGAATTGGTATATGAATTTCAGAGAAGATCTGGTCCTTTCAGAGACATGAGAAAAGGAAGGCTTTCACACTGTTCACACTTTCCTAGCCTAGTTGTGACTTAACAGCTACCAGCTAAATTGAGACCCCTACAGTAATTTCAAGAAATGGAATTTTCAAAGCTGGTAAACCACCTAAGGAAATTTGTTTTTTACAATGTGTCTTCTAACCAATTTGTTAGATGGTAATCTATTCATTTCTGTGGGCAAAAATCTAGAAATGGAATAGCAGGGTCGTACATCTGGTGAATATTATTATTTAATAAATGCCCACTCAGCAAGTTCATCATAATTATAAACTTGCAATTTGACATTTTTGCATTCCGTGTACAGCAAAATAGATAATGGCAACTTACACAAGAATTGAAAACATTGCATTTTATAATGTCACATCTGGGTCAGTCTATCATTTCATGTCCTCATAACTAGTCATAACTAATGATAATCATAACTAATCCTAAACAAACTGAACCATTGAAAGGTTATAAACTTTTAAACTAACAATGAATTGAGCTTGATACCTAAAGCAAAAAAATTAAAAAATAAAAAGTGCAGCTACCATTTGCCTGCCAAGGAGAGCTGTGGTTGTCAGATAGTCTCCTCAGACAAAGCCAAAGCTGCTACTTTATGAACTTTTGGGAAGTCTGACGTTCAGGGATTGGGGACTTTCAGATGTGATCATGTTGAAAGATTGATGGGCTTTCAGTGCATTAGTGTGATCACAACAGTTGACCAACTGACTCATATAAATAGGGTCACCCACATGAGGCACTTGCTGATTGGCTGTTGCCTAGCAGCCTGGGACTGTCACTGATTGCTGATTGGCTTTCTTTGGAACTGGACCTTACCAGTCCTAAAGAAGAATTTTAGAAGTTTGGCCTAACAATGATTTGCTAAATTTCAGAAAGTTTGTTACCGCAGTGAAGCTGTTGCTGAATAGCTGGATTTCCAGGCATATGTTTCCAAGCATAACTCATCCCAACTTAACTCTAATTAACAGTGGTTACCCATTCATGACTTTGGATTTGGGCCAGAGAAAAGTCTTTTCCTTACTTGAACGTGAAAAATAAGCAATTTAATTTTCAATCCCTGTTTCTGATCTTCCCAAAGTCAAACTTGCAGGGCAACCATATGTATTGCCTAAATTTTATTTGTGGGGATATGATTTTTAGCTAGTGTTGCCACTAAGTGATTTAATTGCCAATTACGGTGTAAGAAAAATAGCTCTAACTGCTGACTTTTTGTAATGTATTGTAACAAGCTGAATTCAGGCTTTCTGACAAGTCAATATAGGATGCAGGAAAAATTATTAAATACAGGACATGTCCTCGAACTGTCCCTGGGCCTTGATTTATAAAGGTTAGTTAGTAACAATACAGGTCAATGCCACTAAAAGAAAAGTTTAATGTTGCTCAACTGTTCCCTGGAAATGAGGGTACTGAACACCACACAGGTCACAAGAAACTCTGTCACATGCAGGAACCAGGAAGCAGAGAAGAGAGTAATTTGGACTATGTCTTTACAACTAAAGTGGCAGGGAATAAGTAGGTGAGGACATCCCCATGGGCGGGAAGGGAAAACACACATATTAAGATTTGTGGTTGTGAGGTTTTTATATTAATGTCACGCATCTAAGTGACTTGCAAGAAAGAGAAGTTAAAAACTTTGGCTGTTAGTTTCACCCCATGATTAATGGACATGAAACAGACAAATACAGAATCTAAGAAAACACAGAACAGTCCTGTATACACACAGCAGCTGGCAGCCCAATCCCAATTTGTCCCGTGCACCTACTATGGATCTGAAAGCCAGTACATACTGCTCACTAAATATGTGGTGGAGCAGTAAATACTTACCACTACAAAGCTTCCCTACTGATTTTTGTCTTTGTGGCAAGTCTTTCCATTTATCATCTCTACTTATCCCTCCAAGCAGTTAATGAACAATGTTTTCAAATATGGAAAAAGAATTAGTTTGCAGTCAGGAGAATACCGTGTCCAAGGTTCCAGCACAGCCACAGGCTCAGCTTCATTCTCTAACTTCTGACTTCACTGTCTCTCCCTTAACTTTACTAAGATCTTACCTTTTTTTCCCCACATGTGACAGATAGGTTTAGAGAGCTACTTCAGCCACTTTCAAAAAATAACTACATAATCATTATTAATAGCTTCCAGTAATTTCCATTTCACAAGTGTTTTTCACAGATAATTTCTTTTCTTTTTCTTTTATTAATAATGTCCTGGTATTATTTCACAGATAATTTCAACTCCCTTTGCAGACACTTGTAAAATGCAAGTGAAATGATAATTCACTTTCAGCAAGGAGATGAAATCATGGAACTCCACACCTTTTCCTGGGGATAAGAAGCCCTCTTTGCAGGTGTGCTTCAGCTATGAAAATGGCAGGCAACGTTCTCTCAGGACATGGCATATGATCAGTCATTCTGATTTTCGGGTGGGATTGAGATTCCTAAAATAAATGTAAAATATCTTAGATGTGGAGTAATATTATTTGAATGAAAGTGTTGCTGTCTTGGTAGGGACACAATCACTGACCACACAGCCAGGAAAGACGTGCCTCTTGAGACCAGAAGCACCGCTTCATCCTTTCGACATACTTCAATACCTTCTCTCTTCCTTCCGGCAAGTTGCCCATAGCCCTGTCTATAGTCCGCCTTTCTTCTCCTGGACCAAAAATATTGAAGCTTATTAAACAAACTCCAAAGCGTAACTGTATGTGAAAAGGGACAAGATAGCGGACACGCATGAGTGAACATAGCGTGCTTCTATGGTACGGTGTGTCCCTTTGGATGTGTAGCCTCTGAAAACTTGGTGTGCTTCATAGAGTCTGAAACATGGGTCCCTAACACTTCTCTGAGTATCCTTAGACTGCACTCCAAGAGAATCCGGGTACGTCGCCACAAAGAGCATATCATGCCCATCCTGCCTGTGGTGTCCCGGAACTGCATTTCCCAGCGTCCCTAACGGAGCCACTGGGCCTTTCTCTGGGAGCGACCAATTCTCTAAGACGTCCGGAAGAAGAGTGGCAACTTCATAACCCAGAAGACCCTGCGGCTCACGACTAAGCCAACGAAGGGGCGTATAGGCGCGTGCGCATCACGTGAGGGCGGGACTTCCGGCGTGTGACTGGCGGCGGTCATTTTTGTTGCTTTCTGGGGTTTTCATCCGCTCAGGCCTATGGAGCTCTGGAACATCACCGAGGCTACGCAGCGGAAAACCGCGAGAAACGGCTTGGTCCGCACTGCACAGAGGCGGGCGTGAGGCTCAACTGACAGACGCTCGGGACTGCCGTGTCCTTGGCGTACCCCCGTCCCCGCCGTTCCTGGCCCCTGTCTTCACGGGCTCGTTTGGCGGAGGCCGCGGCGATGAGCTCGACTCAGGTGAGTGCTCGTGCCCGGCCCGACCCCACCTCCTAGTGCCGAAGCCCGGACGGAGGGGCGCCTGCTCATGTCACTGCAGGGCAGGCCGCGTGTCCCGTGGACAGGGGAGATCTCTTGCGGGGTCCCCGTTTCGGCCAGTATAATGAGGTGTGGGAGGAAGTTCCCTTCCGGGACTGGTACGTGCAAAGGGCCTGTAGGTGCTACTGAATGGACCGCAGTGGGAACCCGCGGCGGCTGTTTCTGCAGGGAAGAGAGGGTTTGGTGGAGTCTTCTCTGGAATGTCAACCTGAGCACCTGGAAGCCGTGGAAGGTCGGGAAGGGCGGGCAGATGGAAAGGGCAAGCCCAGAGTTAGAAGTTTAAAATTGGGGAAAGAGGATGGGTGAATGGAGGGAGAGAGACCAGTGAGGAGGCCACTGCAATGGACCTTGGGAATATTACGGTAGGGTCTGGGTCAAAGCAGTAGCAGCAGAGGGGAGATGTGATGAGATTCTGGATAGACCCGAAAGTCGACAGGATTTCCTGCTGCATAAAATGCAGATTTGTGAGCAAAACAAACATCGCAAAGAATGGAATTGGGGTAGTCAGCATGAGGAGTAGGTTTCAGGGAGATCATGGGTTAGATTTTGGTCATCGTGATTCTCAGGGGTTTCAAGTTGCTGATATCACATGGGTAGAGGGACAGAAAGGTCTGCGGTTTGAGGAACAGGGCTGGGGTGGAGATGTGAAAGTAATAGATCGTTAGGCCGTACCCTGTCAACGAACAGGATACAGCCTAACAACCAGATTGAGTAGGGAAGTTTAGAAGTTATCAAATGTGCTCTGCAGTGAGGGAGGAAAAGGCCAAGACTTGAGGCCTTACCATGGGTGAATCCACAAAAGTAATACTCTCTCCAGAAAGGTACAGACCTGGCATAGGAGGGGTACTAGCCTGTGTCTCAAAAAAGAGAGGCCTGGATGGGATAAGGAGCTGGGGTAGGATGGAGACAGAGGTGTAAGGTCATTTAAATTCTGCATCTGCAGGCTGCGCTCACTCTCAGGGCTACTCCCTGTGGAACAAGATCATCCAGGCTACTGGAGAGGCTGGGTTCCAGACCAGGGCATCGCTTTCCCCCTCCTCTACATGTCAGGGTGAGACGGGGTGATTTACTGCTCCAGTCAAGCTTTCTCAGCAAGCTTCCTTCAGAGAATTGTATAACAGACAGGTCTGGTTACAGAACAGACCAGCAGCTGACATTCTTGCTCAGCCCCGCTATACAACTCATTAACTTAACAATGTGTGAAACACTTACTGATTTAAACACTAGCCAATATCCCTCTAAATACGTACACACAGGTAAAGCAGTTAGAAGTGAAGTTATTAAGTTAAATTTCTACAAACACTTCATTATTGGTTTGACATTAACTTACCTCTAAATTACTATCTATTTACTATGGAAAAATTTAATATCACATCCTCTAAAATCTTAAAAAGCTAAAAATATACACCCAAATTTTCAAAACCCTACCACATTGTACTGAAAACAAATAGAAAATGGGCCTGAGGTTCTGGGCATCGAATGGCAGGGTGGCAGGATATAGGGAAGATTTGAAGCAGAAGAAAACAATAATGTGACTCTGATATAAGAGACTCTCTGGCTTCAGAGTGGAGGATAGGCTCTGAAGGTGAAGGTAAAAGAAGGGAGAACTGAGAGGATGTTCTTGCATTGGTCCAGGTGGATGTTGGTGGTGGCTGGATAAGACTGGTGGCTGTGGAGGTGAGAGGAGTGGTTATCTTTAGGATGTATTTTGAACTACAGCTGCCCACATCTCATGACATAGAAAATAATGGCACTGGGGAGGTGCTATGGAAGTGGAATTAAAGGCGGCCCCATGGTTTTTGGTCTTGAATGGAAGGATAGATGCTCCCTCAGCTAAGATGTGGAAAGTCAGCAGTATAGGGAATATTCAGAGAATATGAGGAGTCAGTTTTTGTCCATGTCACTAATGTTCCAGAGACTCCTAGTGGAGGAGCTCAGTTTGAAGACATCTACAACATGGCGGGTGTTGTGTGGACTGAAACCAAGCTGTGGATCAAATTTAGGAGATGGCATTTCTATGTCATTGTGACAGTGCTGTTTGGCAATAAGGAATGAAGTGAAGGGGCAGAGACCCAAGTCTCTGTTAGGCACGTGGATGGTAGGGGAGGAGTCACAGGACAGATGAGGGAACAGAGTGTGGGGATGAATGTGTGTGAGAGGGTAGGGTAGAGGAGTAAGAAAGGCTTCTGAGGAGAGAGTAGACATGATTGGGGTGGTGAAGGGGGAAATGAGATCAATTAGGAAAATTGATAAGCCTCAGCTGGGGCGGGGTGAGAGTGGAGGTGGAAGTATAGAGGTTAGTCACCTGGGCTTTGAGTAAGGTTTCGGTGGAGAGCAGTTGTCCTCACTGCTGAGGAGACAGAATGTGGATTGCAGAAGATAGCCCAGAGAACATGAAGTCCTCACATGGTTTAGGTGGCTGACTATGAAGTCAGAAAAGGGCAGGTGGGGAGACCTTCACAGCAGGGCTTTGGGGTGCCCCTGGCATGAAGGGATTGTGGTGTTCTGGGCACGATGGGGGCTGAATTGGATGCTGGATGTATTCGCCATGCATCACCTGGTTTCCGTGTTACGAGCAGCCTGTTCAGAGGGGAACCGAACTGATGTGGGCTGGGAGTCATCTGTGGAAGTGTAGTAGCGGAGAGTGCAGAGATGTGGTGGGAGTGCCAGAGAGTCACGTGCAGGCAGGAGGAGTGCGAGTGGATGGCCCCCAGGCCCTGACGCTGGGCCCTTAGGGAGAAGGATGAGTCTGAGTTTGGTTGACCAGGAGGAAAGATCTGGAGGCCCCCAGGCATACTGGCTGGCAGGAGAGAGGTAGAGCCCCCCAACCCACATCCCCATCTTAGATGGTGCTTTCCTACCAACCCCACCCATTTTCTCAGTGTGCTGGACACAGCGATCAATGAGAAAGTAGAGAGAAATTAACCCATGCTACCAAGACCTAGTATCTCTTCCACATGGGGAGGTTGTGGGGGAGAGATCCTGTAGAGAGATGTAGAACAGCGATTGTGCCTGTGGGGTTTTAATTTATGGATGTGAATGAGTGATGACAGAGACAGGCCAATAACATTGAAAGAAGATATTTATTTCTCACATTTCCTCAAGAGGGGCCACATGGCTATTGAAGGACCAGATTTGATCAGGAGGCAGAAGACAGGAGCAAGGGAAAAGCTTGGGCCATGGCTTCTGTTAAGGTTCCTGAGGAAAGACAAGACAAGGCAGGGCAGAGTGACCAGCTTAAAATTGGCTAGTTTAAATAATACCAGCACATCTGGGGCTCAGGGGCTGTCACTAAATAGAAGTGTGATACCTGTCCTTGGGTCAATTTAGGACAAAGGAAATACAATATTGGCTTGGTCTGAGAAAGTTAGATAAGCAGGTGGTTCAGAATATGGGTTTTGGATGGCAGAGGAGATATTAGTGTGGCCCTGTATTTAAAGGGTGAGAAAGAGATAAATAGAAAACACCATTTGAAGAAGCTGCTTATGTACTGAACTATCTCAATTTTGTCAGGGCTGTGTGGTCTTTGAGGACGTGGCCATATATTTCTCCCAGGAGGAGTGGGGGCATCTTGATGAGGCTCAGAGATCACTGTACCGAGATGTGATGCTGGAGAACATGGCACTTTTGTCCTCGCTGGGTAAGGCCCTCATACCCACCCAGTATCCCAGGTGGGCCTTTGTCTTCCCCCTCTTACCTAAGTGCAGCTCTGCCATTCCTGTGGTGAGGCCATGGGTGCTGGTTTTTTTCCTGGTTTCCTGGCATATGTACTATGGAGCCAGGGCTGGGCTGTGTGCTCTGTACCCCTTTTTCCCTACCAGCCCCCTTCCTGCTGCTCTGAGGCTCACAAGGAATCTTGAAGTTGGCATGGAGATCACACCAGCCTTGTCTGTTCTAGGCAGGTAACTCTGTCCAAATGCATGCAACCTCCATGCTCTAGGTTGTCCCCTTGCTCTCACTGATATTTCAGGTGCCTTCCTGTGATAGAAATTTCAGGCACTGACCTGGTCATTAATATTATGGACCACTGGATTGATTCTACAAGACTCCATGAAATTCTTGTGAATGTGGGATGTCACAGGGTGCAGCTCTCTGGGTATGTGCTGTCAACTCCCTTTCCCTGTATTTTCCCTAGGACTGGCCTCTCCTGGGTCCCAAACGTTGTCACCTTGAACAATGGGGAGCAATCAGGGTACCTGAGAGGGTGGATATTCCTCCAGTATTGGCAATAAAGGCTCAATAATGGCCCTGGTGCCTGGGAGTTGGGAAAAGGTGTGATGTCAGAGCTGGGTTCAGATCACACTGGGTACCTGTCCTGTGCTCACCATTTGATGGCAGGGCCTCTGTCCACACCTCATTTATACTTTTTCCTCCCCACTGTCATGTCTAGTATGATTTCCTGCCCCTGGATGGGGGATCCTGCCCTACAGCCCCCACTTCTGTGGCCACCACCTCTCACCCATTTTCTTCCAACATATGACTTGCACGTTAGGTGTCATGGGGTCCACCTGTCTCTCTCAGTAGTCCTTGAACTCCAGCTCCACTGTCTGTCCTCTCTGGGTCTGGACACAACCTTCTACCCACTGTTCACCAGTCACCAGCAGCCACGGCCATTTGCAGAGGAGGGAGTTGGAGTCCCCCCCTCCTCCCTGCACTGCATCCCTCCCTTGCATCCTCACTCTTCAGCAAGGCTCTCTCGATCTTGGGCATTTGCCAGGCCCAGCTCTGCATAGCCCATCTTCCTCTCACCGGCCTCAGTGTCTGTGCCTGTCAGCAATCCCATGGCATTATTTCTGGGTGTGTCAGACATGCATTTGTGTTGGGGCTGCCTCCTCCCACCAAAGTTAACAAGCCCTTCACTAGTATCTCTCTGTTTTCAGGTTGTTGCCATGGGGCTGAGGATGTGGAGGTGCCTTCTGAGCAAGGTGTCTCTGTAGGAATGTCACAAGTCACAACTTCAAAGGCCCTTCTATCCACCAAGAAGACCCAGCCCTGTGAGACATGTAGCTCACTTCTGAAAGACATACTGCGCCTGGCTGATCGTGATGGAACACATCCTGAGCAGCGGCTGGAAAAGTGTACAGCAAATCTTCACCAGCACCAAAAACAGGAGCTTAGAGAGAAACTCTCCAAAGGGGATAAAAGGAGCCTTTCATTTATGAAGAACTGCAGAGTTCACATGGCAGAGAGGACTTTCCCATGCAGTGAATGCGGGAAAGCCTTCACCCACAAACATAAACTTGTCGACCATGAGAAAGTTCACACTGAAGAAAGGCCTTATAAATGCAGCAAATGTGGGATATTGTTTATGGAAAAGTCCACACTCAATAGACATCAGAGAGTTCACACTGGAGAAAGGCCTCATGAGTGCAGTGAATGTGGGAAGGCCTTCCTTTGTAAGTCCCATCTTGTTCGTCACCAGACAATCCACTCTGGAGAAAGGCCTTATGAGTGCAGTGAATGTGGAAAATTGTTTATGTGGAGTTCCACACTCATTACACATCAGAGAGTTCACACTGGAAAAAGGCCTTATGGTTGTAACAAATGTGGGAAGTTCTTTAAGTGCAACTCCAACCTCTTTAGGCATTACAGAATTCATACAGGAAAAAGGGCTTATGGTTGCAGTGAATGTGGGAAATTCTTTATGGAAAGGTCCACACTCAACAGACATCAGAGAATTCATACTGGAGAAAGGCCTTATGAGTGCAGTGAATGCGGGAAATTCTTTAGCCTGAAATCTGTCCTCATTCAACACCAAAGAGTTCACACTGGAGAAAGGCCTTATGAATGTAGTAAATGTGGGAAGGCCTTCCTTACAAAGTCCCACCTCATTTGTCACCAGACAATTCACACTGCAGCAAAGCAGTGCAGTGAGTGTGGGAAATTCTTTAGGTATAACTCCACACTCAGTAGACATCAGAAAGTTCACACTGGATAAAGCCCTTACAAATGCAGCAAATGGAAAGCCTTTAACTGCAGAGATATTCTGGTTGGATGTCAGGCACCCCACACTGGAGAAAGACAGTGAATGTGGGTAATTATGTAGGCACAGCTCCACACTCACTGTACATCAGAGAATTCACATTCACATCAGAGAATATCTTATATGTTCAGCAAACTTGGGAAGTTATTTTGGTTCAACTCTGGTCTTATTAAACATTGGAGAGTTTACACGCAAGTCTTTTCAGTAAAGTAAATGTAAAGCCTCGACATGCAAAATTATATTTTTTGAAGTCAGAATATTCACTCTAGTCAAAGTCTTATGAGTGGAGTAAATGTGAGACAGTCTTTTGGTACAATTCCACACTCACTAGATACCATGTAATTCACACTGGAGAAAGGCCTTATGAATGCCTTGGTTGTGAGAGAATCTTTTTATTTCTTTTTGAGACAGGGTCCCACTCTATTGCCTAGGGTGGAATGCAGTGCCATGGTCATAGCTCACTGCAACCTCAAACTTGTGGGCTCAAATGATCCTCCTGCCTCAGCCTCCTGAGTAGGTAGGACTACAGGTATGTGCCACAAAGCCTGGCTAATTTAAAAAGGTTTTTTTGTAGAGATGGGGTCTTGCTTTGTTGTCCAGGATTATCTCAAATTCCTGGCCTCAGCTGATCTTCCTCCCTTGGCCTCCCAAAGTGCTGGGATTACAGGGGTGAGCCACCTTGCCCAGCAGGACGTGGAAGAGTCTTTAGCTAAAATTGCCACCTCATTTGGCGCCATAAAGTTCACACCAGATGAAGTACTTAGATCAGCAAATGGAGAAAGAATGAAGCCTAAAATCTCTGATTTAGCACTGAGGACTAGTATTATATGTGTGTGTGTGTGTGTGTGTGTGTGTATATGTATATATATATTTAATAGTGGTAAAGTACATGTCACATAAAATTTACCATCTTAACCATTTTGATGTTGTGTTCAATACTTGTAGTATATTCACATTGTTGTGCAGAGAATATCCTGAACTCTTTCTGTCTCTTAAAATGAATCTCTGTAACCATTAAATAAAAACTCATCCCTGTATTCCTTCAACACTTGGTGACCACTATTCTACTTTTAGTCTATGAATCTGACTTTTGGGTACCTCATATAAGAAGAAATTTAGAGTGCTTTTTTTTCTTTTGTTACATTTTTTGATTTGGGATAATATCCTCGAGGTTCATTTATTTTTTTTCACTTTTTGCTTTTTTTCTGTCAGTCTCACTTGTGTATGATCATTGATTTTGTAGCATATGTCGGAATTTCCTTCCTTTTTAAGACTGAGTAATATTTCATTGTGTTTACATTTCCTTTATTCCTTCATCCATCCATGGACACTTGGATTGCTTTTGGCTGCTGGGAATATTGCTACTACAAGCATGAGTGTACAACCATGTCTTCAAGACCCTGCTTTCAATTCTTGGTTTATTCCCAGAAGTGGAATTACGGGATCATACGGTAATTCTATTTGTAATTCTTTGAGAAACTGGTTTCCATGGTGCACATACCATTTTACGTTCGCACAAACAGTCCACAGAAGTCATGATTTCTCCTCATCCCAACCCACAGAAAGTTTCTAGGTGATTTTGTTGCTGCTGATATGGGGTCTACATTTTGAAGACTACTGTCTTACTCCATTTTTATGGCAATGCACATATTCTGTAAATATTCTTCATTTCTGTTTGTGTTCTATCTTGTGAGCCTTTTCATTTTATTAATTTCTCCCAGCGTTTACAACCAAGAAATGATTTGTCATCTTGGATAGAAAACAGATAGAAATCTTTGCTAAATACCCATAGCATACTGTGGCCCCTGGGTCCTTTTCTCACCCAATCTATCTAGGTATTTATGAGCATGTAATCTTGTATGAGAATATATCTTGCAAAGAATAAATTTTAAAGGATTTAAGTAAAGTCAAAATTACAGCAATTTATTTACCTGTGGGCCAGCCCTCTAGGCAGTTGGATCCCAATGCCTTTGCTCTATCTGGCTTTCCAGAAATGTCCCCACGATGGGGTGTGCTTGCCCTGACCATGTTAACAGGTTCTAGGCAACAAATGGATTAATTTAGAGATGCTAAAGCCATACAACCTATCAGATAGAATTTGTGTCCTTTTGAAAATTATGCAAAATTATAAGTGATCTTATATGGGATTTGAGGAATTTGATTGGGATTCTCCCTTCAGCTATTCTTCTGTTACCATTAGTTACAACATATAATTTTCTTCGAGTAAGCCAGGCTGTGTGTCACATAATAGGGCCACAGAAACAGGAAAGGTGCTTTTAAGTTCTGACAATCACGCTAAGCAAAAGAATTTAGTTTAAAGTGGGAAAGTGGAATTTGTAACAAATTATTCAGTTCTGTATGAAATGATTATCAACAAAAATTTGTGAACCACATGCCTCTTTCATAAGTCTCCACTGAAGTATCTTAATATTTTTAGGACAATTTGTTAATCATTTTTGAAATTGTAAAATATAATATTTATCATCTTGATCCTTTTTTTATCAGAATACTCCAGGGCGATCATTTTAATCATTCTTAAGCGTACAGTTCTATTGCATTATATACATTCACATTTTTGTGCAACCCTCACCACCATACATCTCATTTCTTATAATCGTTAAGCCAGCTGGTTTGTTTGAGAGAATTGAAGTTTAGAAAGGTCACCAAAGTTGTATGGAACAGGATTAGGAAGGTAACAGGTTTGGAGTGAAAGCTAGGAACCAGTTCCAGGTTTCAATCTAAGGTAAGTAAGTTTTTAATCCCCAAAGCACAAAATATTAGATAAAAAGATAATTACTACAACTGCATGCAAATTTAAGACAGACTTTCATAAAACTCATGAAAGCCAAAATTTAGAGAGTTGAGGGATTGAGAGAAAGCCTTAAATATATGTAACTCTGCCCAGTTTTAAACAGGTTTAGGCATTCAACTTGTAGATTTTTATTTCTCAATAAAAAGTCAAACTCTCTACAAATGAACTAAAATAGGAGTAGACAATAAACAGAATTTAAAAAAAACAGTTGGTCATGATGTTTCTTTTTTTGTTGTTTGTCAAGATTTTATTGAGGAAGTTTATGTATTTCAGTTACAATATTGAGAACATGAAATGTAGACTATATTTACAAATTGAAAAAACAAACAAACAAAAAAGCCAGTTGGCTACCAAGCACCTGAGTCAGTGCTTAAACCCTTGGTATCGTTAGGTGCAAATTAAGTGTAAATGCATATTACTTAAAATTTCACAAACTACTGAGCTTTGGCAAGCAGGGATGGGGCGATGTAGCAGCAATTGTGCATGTGAACCTCACAGGAGCATTAAGAACGATCCGGTTAGGGACTTTAGCAAATGATTTCCCGGGATATCCTGAGATGCAACAATTTTGCTTCTGTCAGGTTTCTCAAGCAGGTATAAAATTTCTCATAGGGGAGAGTTTGCTCACAATGCTGTCCAAGGAAGTGGGACATGGAGGCACAATGTCGTGGCAGCAGATAAGGAGATGATCCAGAGACATCCGTGAGTGGAGAAATGGAAGAGGGAACTTCCACGCTAAAGTCCCACAGATTAGTAGTTATCAGCACTTGCAGAGAGGAGTACCCAGGAATACGTGTATAGAGGTGTTAAGTGTATAATGCGATATGATTAGAGTACATTTGAAAGAACAGGGCTCCTCTTACTGGAACTCAAGCAAATACAACACACACACACACACACACACCCCAAACACATTACAACAGTGGCTGATGAATGGCAGAATTGCAGAGACGTGAGAACAGGAATGCCCTCATGCTGTTCACAATCTCCTGGCTTGGTGTCACTTCATAGCAGCTAACTAAATCGAGATCCCCACAGTAATTTTGGAAAGTGGATATTAAAAGGTGAACCACGGGCAGGGGGAGGAGGAAGGAGGGGACGGGTATTTGTATACACAAGGAGTGCAATGCGCACCACCCGAAGGATGGACATATTTGAAACACGGACTTGGGGGGGGGACTAAGGGCAACCTAAATATCTGTACCCCCATAATATGCTGTAATAAAAGAAAAAGAAAAAAAATAAAAATAAATAAATAAAAGGTGAACCACGTGAGAAAATGTATTTTCTAAACATAGCCTATAACTAACTTGTTAGATAGTGGTCTGCTCATTTCTCTGCGCAAAAACCTAGGAATGGAATGGCAATGCTGTAGACCTGGTGAATGTTTGCATGTTTTCATTGAAATTTTTGGAGCACTAGTTGGTTTACAGAGAAATTCAGTGGAAAATATAGAGTTCTTGTATTCCTCTTCTTCATTTACTGCCTCGACCCACGATTTGTCCTCTTATTAGCAACTTATATTAATGCGAATAAGTACATTTATAGTAATTGATAAACAAATGCCTATACATTATTATTAAAGTCAATAGATTACATTAGGGTTCACATTCTGTGCTGTACCTTTTATATTTTTTTTGGTGGAGGAGACAAGATCTCACTCTGTTGCCCAGGTTAGAGTGCTTTAGCATCATCATAGCTCACTGCAACCTCAAATTCCTGGGCTCAAGCAATCCTCCTGCCTCAGCTTCCCAAGTAACTGGGACTACAGGCATGCACCACCATGGCCAGCTAGTTTTTTAAATTTTTTTGTGGAGATGGGGTCTTGCCCCTGCTCTGGCTGGTCTTGAGCTCCTGGCCTCAAGTGATCCTCCTGCCTCGGCCTCCCAACTTGCTAGGATTACTGGCATGAACTACGATGCCTGGCCACCCCCCATTTTTTTTTCTTTTTGACATGAGGTCTCACTCTGTCACCCAGGCTGGAGTGTAGTGGCCCAGTCATAGCTCATTGCAGCCTCGAACTCCTGGGCTCAAGAGATTTTGCTGCCGCAGCCTCCTGAGTTGTTGGGATTACAGGTGTATGCCACTGTCCCAGCTGTGTGGATTTCAAAATATGTATATTATATGTTTTCATCTTTATTATATAATACAGATGAGTTTCACTGCCTTTAAAATTTCCTATTATCCACCTATTCATTATTCCACCTCTTTTCATGAACACCTGGTATCATCTGGTGTTTTACTGTCTCCATCATTTGCCTTTTCCTGTGTGTCACAAAGTCTGATTCACATGATATGTAGCTTTTTTCAGATCTCCTTCTTTCACTCAGTGATATGCATTTAAGGTTTCTCCACGTCTTTTCATGACTTGACACCACATCTTTTCATCTCTGAGCAGTATTCCATTGTACGGATGCACCACAGTTTGTTATGAATTCATCCACTGAAGGACATTTTGGTGGTTCCACATTTTGGCAAAAATATGGAATAAATAAAATAAAGCTGCTATAAACAACTGTGTGCAGTTTTTATGTGGACCTAAGCTTTCAACTCCTTTAGGGAAATGCCAAAGTGAGAGAATTCTGGATTGTATATCAAGAGTAACCCTGCAGGTTAGCAGCCCCTGTGAGACAAAGGAAAGATCAAGGGAAGAGGTGCAGTGGGGTCCAACCAGGCCACTGCAGAGCCACCTCCTCCACTCCTCAGGACAAGGGGAGTGTCCAGTGCTACAATCAAGGGCCCCTGTTAGTGCCCTTGTAGAATTATGCAGCTGAGGCCCTCACCAGATGATGCCCAATCTTGAACATTCCAACCATCAGAATCACGAGCCAAATAAACCTTTTTCTTTATAAATTTCCCAGCCACAGGCAATCCTTAATAGCAACATTAAACAGACTAAGACACCATAGGTATTGTGTAGATTTTTATTTGCAAGGATAAGTTTTTTAGCTAATGTTGCTGCTAAGTGATGTACTTGCCAATTACAGTGTGTGAAAAATGGGTCTATCAAATTTTTGTGCTGTGTTGCAAAAACCTGAATACAGATATACAGGCCTTTTTATAAGTCAATACAGGATGCAGGTAAAATCAGTAAATACAAGACACGTCCTTGAACTGTGCCAGGTCTTAACTGATAAATGGGACTTAGTTACTACACAAGTCAATGCCATTAAAGGAAAAGTTTAATGTTGCTCAAAGTTTCCCTGGACACATCACACAGGCCACAAGAGACCTTATCACAGGCAGAGATCAGGAAGCAGAGAAAAGAGGAACTGGGATTGTGCCTCTATAACAAAAGTGGCAGGGAGTAACAAGGTGAGGACATCTCTATTGGGCACATACGGAAAACACACGTTAAGGTTTGTGGTTGGGGGTATTTTATATGAGTTTTCATGCACCCAAGTAAGTGACTTGGAAGAAAGAGAAGTGAACAAATTTGGCTGTTAGTCTGGCCCTGTGATTAATGAATACCAAATAGACAAATACAGAATCTAAGGATACACAGAACAGTCCTGTATACACACAGCAGCTCACCGAACATTTGATAGAGCTGTAAATACATGACACCACTCAATTTCCCTATTAACTTTTCCTTTGTGGCAAGTTGCTCGATTTATCATTTCTACATATCCCTCCAAGTAGTTAAGAAGCAATGTTTACAAGCATGAAAAAAGGATAACATTTTGGAGACAAAAACACGAATGTGTCCAAGGTACCACCACAGCCACAGCCTCAGTGTCTTTATCTAACTTCTCAGACTTACTGTCTCGCATTCAAACTTTGCTGAGATCTTATCTTTTTTTTCCCAAAAGTCACAGATAGGTTTATCCAGAGCAATTTCTGCCACTTTTTTTGAATAATTACACAATCATTATTAATAGATTTTAGAAATTTCAATTTCACAAATGTTTTTCAACAGATAACTTCAACTCCTTGTGCACACACTCTTGCAAATACAGGTGAATTGATAAATCACTTCTCAGAAAGGAGATGAGATCATGGAATTCCACACCTTTTCTTGGGGGTAAGAACATGTGCTCCAATTATGAAAATGGCAGACAATTTCCTGTCAGATGACATGTAATCAATCACTCTAATTTTCAGACAGGATTGAGATTCTTAAAATCAGTAGAAAATATCTTAGATATAGAGTAATAAATATTATTTGAATAAAAGTGTTGCTCTCTTGGTAGGAACACAGTCATTGACCGTACAGCCTGAAAAGACATTTTCTCTTGCAACCAGAGGCAGAGTTTCACTCTTTCAACCTACTTCAGTAAGTCCTGTCCTTCCTGCAAATTCCCTGCCATGGCCCTGTCCACAGTCTTTCTTCTCCTGGACCAAACATATTGAAGCTTATTAAGCAGATTGCAAAGTTTAACTTCTCATGTGTTTGAAAAGCGACAAGATAACTGACAAAAATGAGTAGACACAGAGTGCCTTTGTAGGAGCGTGTGTCCCTTGCATGTGCGTTTTTGGGAATTTGCTCTGCTTCACAGAGTCTGAAATAATAGGTCCCTCACATTTCTGTGAGTATCCTAGACTGCACTCCAAGAAAATCTGGGTACTTCTCCTTTAAAATCAAGCCAAGCCTGGTCCTGTCGTTGGAGTGTCGGCCCCCAGTTTCCCACGACCCTTAGGGTACAAAGGGGCCTTTATCCACCTCGTAAGGAGACAACAAATCTCTAAGACGCGTCCAGAAGCAGAGTGGAAACTTCATAACCCAGAAGACCCTGCGGTGCGCGGAGGCGGGACAGAGCCAATGAGAGCTTATGAAGGGACGTATATGAGCATGCGCAGACGCGAGGACGGGACTTCCGGCGCGTTCCTGGGGGCGGCCATTTTGGTTGGTTTCTCAGGCCTAGGGAGCGCTGGGACGTCACCGAGGTGACGGAGTGGAAAAACCCCAGAAGAGGCTTGGTCTGCGCTGCACAGAAGCGGGCGTGGGACTAACGGGCTGGGAACGGCCGTGTCCTTGTCGTACCCCTGTCACCGCCGCTCCCAGGCCCACTCTTCCCGATGAGCTCGACTCAGGTGGGTGCTCGTCCCCGGGCCCTCCGCGGCCCGGCCCCACCTCCGAGTGCCAAAGCTGTGTCCGGTTGACAGGGGCGTTCTGGTGTGGGGCCCCCGTTTCGGCCAGTGTGACGGGGTGTGGGAGGAAGTTCCCGTCGGGGCCGGAACGTGCGAAGGCTCGCGGGTGCCACGGCTTCGACCGCTTTGAGGAACACTGGGGTGGCTGTTGTTTGTGCAGCGAAGAGAGGCTTTGGTGGAGTCTCAGCTGGAATGTCAACCTGAGCAGCCGGTAGCCATGGAAGGTTGCGAAGGGAGGGCGGAGGAGAGGGGCAGAGTTAGAAATTTAAAGTTGGGAAAAGAGGATGAGGAATACACACAGGCAGCCCAATGAGGAGCCCACTGCAATAGACCCGGGAGAATTATGGTCGGGGCTGGGCTAGAGTGTCGTTAGCAGAGAGGGGATGTGATTAGATCTGCATAGATCTGAAAGATAGGGCAGCAGCTATTCCTGTGAGCAAAATCAGGGAGTGTCAAGAACCATCTCAAGGATCTGTTGTGTTTCGTTTTGTTTCCTGAATATTTGCAAGAATGGAGTTGAAGAAGTCATCATCATGAGAAGGATTCAGGGAGAAGATCATGGGTTGAATTTTGGATATGGTGATTCTCAAATGTGTCAAGATGGGTACGTCACATGGGCAGGTGTTGGACGTAGAGGTCTGCAGTCTGAGCAGGAGGGTTGGGATAGAGATAGGAAAAGGTTAGAGGATGTGGACTGGACCAGGGCATGGCCTGAAGATCAGATTGAGTAGGGGAGTGTAAAGGTCGTTACTGCAGATGAGCTCTGTGCTGAGGGAGAGGAGGGCTGAGACTTGTGGGCCAGATCATGGGTGGGTGCATAAGCCTGATACTGTCTTTCGAAAGGCACACACCTGTCATAGGAAGGATTCTGGCCTGTGTCTGCAAAACGGGAGGCCTAGATGGAGTAAGGAGCTGGCTGACGACGGAGACTGAGGTGTGAGGTGGCTTAGACTTGGTTTGGCTGACTCTCAGGGCCACTGTCTGTGGAACAAGAGAAAGGCCATCCAGGCTAGTGGAGTAGCTGAGTTCCAAATCGGGAAATGGTTTCCTCCCCTTTTCCACATGTCAGAACAAGAGGGGATGATCTACTACTCTAGTCAAGGACCCTTAGCAAGCTCCCTTCAGAGGATTATGTAGCAGGCAGTCCTGGTTGCAGAAAGGACCAATAGCTCACCTGCCTGCTCAGCCCATCTGTACAACTTATTAACTTAAGAATGTATGAAACAATTATTTAAATCCTAATTAACCAATATCTTTTGAAAAATGTACATATCGATAGGCAGTTAGTAGCAAAATTATTCAGTAAGTTAAATTTCTAAAAATATTTCATAATTGGTTTGATGTTACTTTACCTCTAAGTGTTTGCTTTTCATGGAAAATTTTAACATCACATTCCATAAAATCTTAAAAAAACAATATACCGCCAAATTTAAAAACTCTATTATTTTGTTTACACTGAAAACATATACAAAGCCATTAATTCTTGGACAATAATAGCTAATATGTATAATGTATCACTAATATTTGATACAAATATGAGCCCTATGACATGGGAGCCATTTTCTTATCCTCTATTTACAGATGGGGACACTGAGGCTCAGGGAGGTTTAGTTCTTTTCCAGAGTTAAAGAGCTACTGTTAGGTAGCACTGAGGTCTGAGGAGCTGAATTTATGCAATCAGTTTCAGATCATTTTGCTGCAGGGCAAGGCAAAAAGGGAGGTAGTCCATCTCAGCCTGCAGAATCCTTCCATGGTTGCCCATTTCTCATGCCCTCTCTATTTCCTCAGGATGCCCTCATGATAGCAGAAATGGAACCTGCACAGGTGAGTAGTAGAGGGATTCCTACTTCCCATCTACACTCATTATCTCCTGGTTGGATTTAGCACCCCAGTATAAAGAAAGGTGGTATCCTGAGACCCTACTGCGTTCTTCTCCCTCTCTTATGTCTGAAGACTGTGTAATTTCACCAGGCTCAGTATCCTAAATTTGGTCCTGGGTTACATGGAGTGGTTCCATTTTTGACACTGATGTGGTAAGATGTGTCGGGGTGTCCTGGGCACAGGATTCAGCATGTTTCAGAGCTTGGATATGAGACTGAGCTGTCATTTTCAGGGAACTACAAGTCTCACACCTGATAGGAATGGGAAGCAGAGAGGGAGTTGACTAGAGGCACACAGACATCAGGAGTAGAATGACAGCCTGAGGTTCTGGGCCTGCAATCTGAGGGCGGTGGGATATAGGGAAGATTTGAAGGAGAAGAAGACAGTGATATGGTCGTGATTTAAGAGACTCCCCCTGACTTCAGAGTAGAGCACAGACTGTGGATGTGAAGGTAAAGGCAGGGAGACGTGGAAAGGTGTTCTTGAGTCAGTCCATGTGGATGTTGGTGGCAGCTGGACAAGAGTGGTGGCTGTAGAGGTGAGAGGAATGATTGGCTTGGGGATGAATTTTGAATTAGAGCTGTCGACATTTTATGACAGAGAGTGTGGGAGCTAGGGAGGTGGGACGGGAGAGCAATCAGGGAAGGCCCTGTGTTTTTTTCTTATTTAGAAGGATAGATGGTGTGTCAGCAAAGATGTGGGAAGTCAACATGTGAGGAATCTTCAGAAAATGAGGAGTCAGTTTTTGTCAATATCATGAATATTCTAGAGACTCCTAGTGGAGCACTTTAGTTTGTAGACATCCACAACATGGTGGCTGTTGTGTGGACTGGAATGAAGCCTGTGGATCAAATTTAAGAGGTGATATTTCTAGATTATGGTGGCAGTGCCCTTCTGGGGTAAGGGGTGGGAATGAGGGGGCAGAGAACAAGGTCTGTCTACTGAAGCACCTGGATGGTGACGGAGGAGTCAAAACAGATGAGGGAACTGAGTATTTATGGGGATGAGTATGTTCCAGATGGTGGGGTATGGGAGTGAGAAGGCTTCTGAGGAGAGAACAGACATGACAGGGATGCTGAGGAGGAAAACATGATGAGTTAGGAGAGTTGCTAAGCCTTGGCTGGGGTGGGGCAAGGGTGTAGGTGTAGGCGGGTCAGTGTTGCTGGGCTTTGAATGAAGTTTCCGTGGAGAACTATTGTCCTCACTGCTTATGGGATAGAACGTGTAATGTAGAAGCAAGAGATAGCCAAGAGTACCTCGTGAAGTCCTCACATGGTTTGGGTGGCTGACTATGAAGTCAGAAATCAGCAGGTGGGACACCCTCAAAGCGGGGCTTTGGGCTGGCCCTGGCATGAGGGGACTTTGGTGTAGAGGTGAAGGAAATGCTTGAGATACGAGCTGGGAGGTGTTGGTGGAAATGCAGTAATGCAGAGACCAGGGAGATGATGGAAGCGCCATCCAAAGAGGGATGTGCAGGCAGGAGGAGAGTGAGTGGATGGCCCCCAGTCCTGGCACTGGGTGCTTAAAGGAGAAGGATGAGTCTGAGTTCAGTTCTCTGGGAGGCAAGATCTGGGAGACCCAGGGAAACTGGTTAGTCTATGTGGTAGACACACCGATCATTAGAAATGTGGAGAGAAAAGGTGCCCATGCCACCAGGACCTGGTATCTCCTCCATATGGGGAGGTTGTGGAGGAGAGGGACTGAGGTCCTGGAGAGAGGTGTAGAGCAGTGATTGTGCTCATTGGATTTTAATTTATGGGAGTGAGAACGACAACAGGGACAGGCCAATGGCATTAAAAGAAGATACTTGTTTCTTATATATCTCGAAGGAGGAACCACATCACTTAACAAAAGGCCACATGGCCACTGAAGCACCAGATTTGGTCAGGAGGCAGAAGACAGGAGTGAGGGAAAAGCTTGGGCTATGGCTTCTGTTAAGGTTCCTAAGAGAAATACAGGGCAGGACAGGGTGACCAGCTTAAACTTGGCTAGTTTGATTAATTCCAGCACATCTGGGGCACAGGAGCTGTCACTAAATATGTGATACTTGACCCCATTTAGGACAAAGGAAACATTGTCTTGGTCTGAGAAAGTTAGATAAGAAGGTGACTCAGAGTATGGGTTCCGGATCGCGGGGGAGATGGAAACAAATTTGGCTATTAGCTTGGCTCTGTATTTAATGGGTGACAAATAGATGAATGGAAAATCTAAAATCTAAGTAGATATAGTTTAAAGAAACTGCTCATATACTGAACTATCTCAATTCTGGCAGGGCCGTGTGGTCTTTGAGGATGTGGCCATATATTTCTCCCAGGAGGAGTGGGGGCATCTTGATGAGGCTCAGAGATCACTGTACCGAGATGTGATGCTGGACAACATGGCACTTTTGTCCTCGCTGGGTAAGGCCGTCACACCTACCAAGTCTCCCAGGTCAGGCTGTGTCTTTCCCCCTCTTACCTAAGTGCAGCTCTGCCTTTCCTGCAGTGAGACCATGGGTGCTGCTTTTTTCCTGGTTTCCTGGTGCATGTGCTGTGGGAGCCAGGGCTGGGCTGTGTGCTCTGTACCCCCATTTTCCTACCACCCTCCTTCCCTGCTGGTCTGAGGCTCACAAGAAAGGGCTTAGGAGTCAGAAATCTTGAAGTTATCATGCAGGTCCCACCAGCCTTATGTCCCTGGTATGGTTACTCTGTCCAAATGCATGCAACCTCTGTGTTCTAGGTTGTCCTTTTGCTCTTGCTGATATTTCTGATGACTTTTATGTGCCAGGAATTTCAGGAACTGACCTTGTCCCTAATTTTGGGGACAACTGGGTTGATTCTACAGGACTCATCTGTGAAGTTCTTGTGATTATAGGATGTGGGCTGTCACAGGGTGGATTTCTCTGGGTATGTGCTGTCCACTCCCTTTGCCTGTATTTTCCCTAGGATTGGCCTCTTCTGTGTCCCAGACATTGTCACCTTTGATTATGGGGAGGGCTCTGGCTACCTGAGAGGACGGATTTGGAATAAAGTATTGGATACCAGAGTAAAGTATTGGCAATAAGGGTTCAGTAATGGCATTGCTGCATGGGAGTTGGGAAAAGGTGTTAATGTCAGAGCTAGGTTCAGATCACACTGGGTACCTGTCCTGTGCTCACCATTTGATGGCAGGGCCCTTGACTACAACTCATTTATACTTTTTCTTCGCAGTGTCATTTCTAGTTTAATACCTGCCCCTGGATTCCCCCACTCCTGCCCTATAGCCCCCGCTTCTGTGGCCACTACCTCACACCCATTTTCTTCCACTGCTCCCTTTACAGTGTCCTCCAACACATGGCTTATACTTTAGGTGTCATGGAGCCTACATGTATCCCTCAGTAGTCCTTGATCTCCAGCTCCACTGTCAGTTTTCTCTGGGTCTGGACACAACCTTCTACACCCTACTCAACATGGCCATTTGCAAAGGAGGGAGTTGGAAACTCCACCTCTCCTCCTTGCACTGTACCCTTCCCTTGCATCCTTGCCCTTCACCAGGGCTCTCAATCGTGGGCATTTGCCAGGCCCAGCTCTGCACAGCCCATCTTCCTCTCACTGGCCTCAGTGTCCATGCCTGTCAGCAATCCCATGGCCTTATTTGTGGGTGTGTCTGACATGCATTTGTGTTGGGGCTGCCTCCTGCCACCAGAGTTAATGTGCACTTTAGCAGCATTCCTCTGCTTTCAGGTTGTTGGCAAGGAGCCCAGGATGTGGAGGCACCTTCTTCAGAGCAAGGTGTTTCTATAGGAATGTCACAGGTCACAACTCCAGTGCCCCATGTATCTACCCGGAGGATCCAGTCCAGTGAGACGTGTGACCCACTCTTGAAAGACATTTTGTGCCTGGTTGAGCACAGTGGAATACTTCCTGAGCAAGAGATGTATATTTGTGAGGCAGAGCCTTTTCAGCACCAAAAGCAGAAGATTGGAGAGAATCTTTCCAGAAGGGGGGATGATTGGAGACCTTCATTTGAAAAGAACCACAGAGTTCCCATGGCAGAGAAGACCTTCACCCGCAGTGAGGGTTGGAAGGACTTGCCGGCCACCTCTGTCCTTCTCCAGCACCAGCCCCCTCAAAGTGGGTGGAAGCCTTTCAGGGACACAGAGGACAGGGAATTCTTTCAAACTGGACAAAATGATTACAAATGCAGTGAATGTGGGAAAACCTTCAACTTCAGTCATTCACTTGTCGAACACCAGAAAATCCACACAAAAGAAAGGCCTTATGAGTGCAACAAATGTGGGAAACTCTTTAGATATGGTGCCAACTTCATGAAACATCAGACAGTTCACAGTGGTGAAAGGACTTATGAGTGCAGAGAATGTGGAAAATCTTTTATGTACAATTATAGACTCATGAGACATAAGAGAGTACACACTGGAGAAAGGCCTTATGAGTGTGACATATGTGGGAAATTCTTTAGGTACAGCTCTACATTTGTTAGACATCAGAGAGTTCACACCGGAGAAAGGCCTTATGAGTGCAGAGAATGTGGGAAATTCTTTATGGACAGTTCCACACTCATTAGACATCAGAGAGTTCACACTGGAGAAAGACCTTATGAATGCAGTGAATGTGGGAAATTCTTCAGGTATATCTCCACACTCATTAGACATCAGAGAATTCACAGTGGGGAAAGACCTTATGAGTGCAGCATCTGTGGGGAATTCTTTAGGTATAACTCCAGCCTCATTAAACATTGGAGAATTCACACTGGAGAAAGGCCTTATAAGTGCAGCGAATGTGGGAAATCCTTTAGGTACCACTGCAAACTTATTAGACATCAGAGAGTTCACACTGGAGAAAGGCCTTATGAATGTAGTGAATGTGGAAAATTCTTTCGGTACAACTCCAACCTCATTAAACATTGGAGAAATCACACTGGAGAAAGGCCTTATGAGTGCAGAGAATGTGGGAAAGCCTTTAGCCACAAACATATACTTGATGAGCACCAGAAGATTCACAGTGGAGAAAGACCTTATGAGTGCAGTGAATGCCAGAAAGCCTTCATTAGAAAGTCTCACCTGGTTCATCACCAGAAAATCCACAATGAAGACAGGCTTCTGTGCTCCATGAATGTGGGGAGTTCTTTAGGTACAACTCCAGCCCCATTAAATATCAGAGATTTCACAATGGAGAAAATTTGCCAGTAACCATTTTAATTAGATATTTCAGTAATGCTGTATAAATTCACATTTTTATGCAACTTATCTCAAGAACTTGTCTTGGAAAAGTGAAACTCTATAGCCAGTAAATGACAACTCTTCATCCCCCTTTGTTACTGTTCTTGGCAACTATGCGACTACGTTTCTACACTCTGTATCTATGAATTTGACACTAATTAGTACCTCATGTAAGTGGAGTCATGCAGTATTTGTCTTTTTGAGATTGGCTTATTTTACTTAGGATAATGTCCTCAAGGTTCATTCATGTTGTAGCATATATCAAAATTTCCTTCCTTTGTAGGTGAAATAATTTTCTATTGTATGTATATACCACATTTCTTTATCCATTCATCTGTCAATGGACGCTTGGATTACTTCTACCTTTTAACTATCGGGAATAATGCTGCTATGAAGATGAGTGTACAGTTATCTATTCAAGACCCTGCTTTCAATACTTTTTGGGTGTATACCCAGAAAAGGAGATGCTGGGTGATATATAATAGTATTTCTATTTTTAATCTTTTGAGGAACTGTTTTCCATCATACTTGTACCATTTTTCATTCTTACCAACAGTGCACAAGGGTTCTAATCTATGTATTTCTTCACCAGCATTGTTCATTTTCTCATCCTGATTTTTTGTTCTTTTGTCTTTTTTTTTTCTTTTATGTATTTGGAGTGTTTTTGTTTTGGATAGAAGCTATCTTATTTTGTGTGAGGTGGAATCTTGTGCTTTTCATTTTTGTAATATTTTGTTGATTAATGATGTTGATCTTTTCATGTGCTTGTTAGGCATTTGTGTATGTGGAGAAATAGCCAAGTCTTTTTTAAAAATTTTTAAATGG